ATTAAATAAACAATTGCAAATGTTATATAATTAAATAGCTTAACAGAATTTCCTTAAAGTTCAATAACCGAATTTGCATTATTTATTGAGCTACAAGCTGCAAAAGTTCGAAAAACTTAAATAAAAAATCAATTTTTATAAACAAAATAAAAAACAACAAATTGACAATAGGTACGGAATTGACAAATGACTTATCTGAGAGATAATTTCATTGCTTACAAAAATGACTTGAATGTTTATTGTCGTATCTCCAATAGTTTAAAAGTTATATCAACTTTTAAGTCAACAAATGGATCAGCTGCTGCAACTTTGATAGTACGTATATTTTCAAAGTTTAATAAAAAATGGAATAAAAATAATGCACTAAGTCGTTTTTGGAATTTTTATTTCGTTTAGGAAAAAATAAACTAAAGTTGGGAATTTGTTTATAACAAATTGTTAACTTAATAAACAATAGATATATTAAAAAAACGATTATAAACAATTAAAAGTTATTATTAAGAAACATTTTTTTTTTAAATCATAATTGGCAATTGTCTAGAAAGTTGTTAAAAAAAAATTTGAAAAAAATTGAAATACTCCATTTGTTTATAAAAAATGTATAAACAAATGGAGGAAAAAAAGTGTTTAGAATACACCGTAATTTTTTTAAATTATAGAATCTAATTTTATTAACTTAAAAAAAATATTTTATGTAACGTACTCGGTTTCGACGCCGTGCGCGCAACCTAAAAATGGCGTGCGGAAGGCTACTTTGAGCGTTAAATTAAAATTATAAATAATGGAGGTACAGTTCCGGGAGTCGGAACTTATTTATAGCAAATTTCCTCCTCTTTAAGGATCTTTTTTGAAAAATCCAAAAATATTTATATTTTACAAACTATAGGCGAAAAACCAAACACCATGTTTTTGAGGTGTTTAATTGTTTATAACTTTTGCAATTTTTTATGCACTGCAAAATTTTTCTTCACACATTGATCTAGACATTATTCCGAATCGAATCAGCTATTGAACATAATTTTCGTAATAGTATGTCCCAAAAACACGCTTTTGAACTTGTTGATTAGACTATAATTAGGATACTTTTGAACGATGATATAAAATACAGAGTGAACCATTTAAAAAATTGAGAAAATTATGTATTTGTGTTTTGACTCACCCTGTACAGATTTGATGCGAATTGAAAAGAAGTAGTGTCTCCGGATAAAATTTGACCATGATCTGAATTATGGTAGAAAAAAAATTGGTTATCAATGGTTTCTTTTGCATGATATAGGTCATTGAATTCAATACGATTTTCATACAAAACTAAATTATACTCTGCAAAATACCCTGTATAAACCAATAATAATTTATATTTTTAAAATGGGAAAAGTGCGGGCAATTCAAATATAAAACAAAATACAGGGTGATCCATTAAAAAGAACATAAGTTGGTTCCAGAGGGAAGTTATATTCAAAAATTATTTTAAAATATGTAGTTTAACGCTGTCTACCGTTCTGTGGAAATATTTTTTTTATATCTCTAATAATGGCGGATTACTCTGTATATGTTTCAAATGTACATCATGTAATTTAATTTATTAGATTTATTATATTAAATGGTATTTTTGGTAGATTGAACTTTTAGACTACCATGTTTATTATCTAAATATATAATATATTTAATTAACATTTAGTCAGTATGCTCTTAGCATGATATGAGTTCCTTTTTTGGTTATGTTACTTTCAACGCGAAAATCAAATAGTAGTGTGTCAAACATTTACCTTTCAAAATAGGGAAGATTATTAGACTAAACCTGAGCTCACTGACAATAGTGTCCAGTCGGAAGCAACACTAACAGATCCAGTACTCTAGGATCCTAAAATGGTAACACAGTAAGCATAGAGGCAGTGCACATGTGCACTCCCAAATTACAAGTGTGCACATCCAAAGTATTAAACCACGCACTGCGGCTGCGTAGGGGACGTCAGTGCTGCCTTGCTTTTATTCTATACCCGACGGACTAGGATAATAACAGGGGATGCGACGGATAAAAAAATAGATTAGTACTCAAATCTTGCTATACAATTTTCTTAGAATTGGTAGAAATACAATCCAAATTAGAAATAGGGGCGCGTACTGATTTCCAACAATCTCTCAAGTTCTGAGGGATTCGCAGGATGTAAAGAAGTACTAAAAAGAAGCAACTCTTCTGGGAGGAGGACCTGAAAATACTTTGAATGTGCCATTTCCTACCCAAAAAGTTGAAGGATTGCTAAAAGGACACTTCATTTTTATTTTGTGATTTCAGGAAATATTTTAGTATCTTAGGGACAAAGATAAAACTCTCCCTTACATGCTTACTATGCCAATGCCTTCAAAGGATAAGAGATAGGCAGAAAGTATCAGGAATGTCATCAATTAATGTTTAGACCAATGTGTTCGTTCTAAATCACGTTTTGGTTGAAACAGAAAGTAAAAAAATAATATTTTGATACAGTATATTTGCTGTAAGAAGAATGGAGCACTTTTTGGACAACCACAGGTTCTAAAGCCTACAGAGCCTACAGAATACATTTGGCCAAAGCACAGTATAAATAATTGTATAAGGAATAAAGGTAACAGAGTGGGTACTATGAACTAATATGGAGTAAAACGCAAGCCATTATGCTGCAGTGCTATCGGAGATTAAAGCCAGACGAGCCCAGAAAAAAAAAATGGTGGAACAAAAAGCCATATGGCTGCTGCAATACATTAAATCTGTTGTGGGACTCCGTTTGTTTTAGAGTATGTCGTCTAGCCTGGTCTTTTTTATTAGACTTAGTAGCTTTGACAGTGGCTCCCTCATGTAGTTGCATGCATTTGGCTTTTCTTCGCCCAATGTTAGTAACCTCATTCTAGCCAGGCCTTCACATTGGCATAGGACGTGGAATGATGTTTCCTCTTCTTCTTCTTCTTCATAGAACCTGCACAAAGTTGCTTCTTCTGCTGGATTGATAACACTCATGTGCCTTTTGAGGCGACAGTGTCCAGTAAGAAGGCCTACTGTTATCCTAACGGTTTGACGTTTTTGATCCAATAGGTATTTCGTGAACTTGGCCGATGGTTCCTTGATGAACTGTTTGGTCTGTCTCAGTCTTGGATAGTTGTTCCACCATTCCTGGGACTCTTTTTGCATCCATTGTTTAATGGATGCCTTGCACAGAAGGGTTCGGGACCTGTCATGGCCTTATCTGAGCCTTCTCGGGCTAATTCGTCGGCCTTTTCGTTGCCCTGATATTCCTCATGGCCTGGAACCCAGGCTAGGGTCACCTTATTTTGACTACTTAGCAGGTGTTCTAGTCTTTCACCAGTCGTGATTTGATTTTTGGTGAGAGAATTGCTTTTAGAGCTGCTTGACTATCAGAGTATATGGCAATAGTTTTACCTGATACTTGCTGATTTAATATTTCTCTTGCTCAGTGTTGTATGGCTATTAGCTCAGCCTGGAACACTGTTGCATGTTTTCCTAAACTCAGCGAAATCGAGATTCCAGCACCGACTCCTTCCTTGGTTTTTGAACCGTCTGTGTACCAGACGAGTTCAGCCTGTACGGGAGGTCACTGTTTCCAGGATTCTCGGGCTGGTATTTGAATTTGAAAATTCCATTCAAATTTGTATGTGGTTATGGCTCTATCAGTAGACATAGCTAGAATATTATCCCTTTTTACTTGCTGATATAGCCTTGTGTGGGCGGCGCTATGTAGTTGGCTTATTGGGTTTTGTCCCTGCATTAGCCTGTGAATAGCTGACCTGGTTTCTCTTTGTATGAAGATGTGAAGTGGCGTGAGATTTAATAATACCTCCATTGCTATAGTCGGCGTAGTGCGCATGGCCCCAGTAGCACTTAGACAGGCAAGCCGCTGAATGCTAGTGAGTTGGCCTATTGCACTCACCTGCACAGTTTTGGTTACCCACGCTACTGAGCCATAGGTTATCATGGGTCTTATTACCCTTGTGTATAACCATATGGTCATTTTGGGGTTTAGATCCCAGTTTTTCCCACATATTCTTCTACAGCTTACGAGAGCTATTATAGCTTTGTATGTGAATTTTTTTAGATGTTGATTCGACGTCAGCCTTTGGTCAAATATGACTCCGAGGTATTTAGTTTCTGTAACGAATGGGATAACTATGTTGTTTAGTACTAGTGGTCTTAGTCCTGTAAGTACCCGTTTTTTGGTGAATGGTACAACTGTTGTTTTTTGTGCGTTAATGGACAATTGTTCCTTTTTACACCAGTTGTTTCCTATGTTTAGAGCTGTTTGAGATCGCTCCGAGACTGTGCCTGCAAATCGCCCCCTGGCGATAATTGCTAGGTCGTCTACATATCTTAGGTACTGGTAGCCTTCTTTGGACAATGTTTTGAGTAAGTCTTCCACAGCATTGGAGATAATATTCCGCCTTGTGGGCGACCCCGTGTAACTTTTGCCTGTATGGTTGCTTTTCCTAGAGTGGATAAAATAATCCTGTTCTCTAGACAGGCAGTGTTCCATTGGCATATTGTAACTGGGACGTTTCTCTCTTCTAGAGACTTGGTTATTGACCTGGTTGAGGCATTGTTGAAAGCTCCTTCGAAATCTAAGAAAGTGGCTATTGCGATTTCTTTGTCATCTATTGACTTTGAAAGCAGCCTGTTTAAATCGTCCAGTGCTAGGTCAGTTGACTTTCCTGGCTGGTATGCATATTGGTTGGGATGGAGCGGATTTATTTTTAGTATCTGCTGCAATACATATAGGAGGTCCGAAAATGCTATACGAATATAGCAACAAAGAGCACTTGAATCTCATTCATTCGTTTCTAAGTGACTTTGGAATGTTTTAATCTTCTGAAACTTGTTGTCGGGTATTTAATAAGTAACATAACTATTTCATTTACTTTGTTATTTGTGATTTAAACATGGTAGTACCTTTTTCGATAAATTAATCCAACACATTGTCTTTCACTGTTCTTTTCAATTTTATCACGTGTATATCTAGCTCACGAACACCTAGCAGAATTGATGCCTATTTTCGATGAAATTCGAGCTAGAGGAGAGTGTGGGAATGCGTATCCTTTGCACGTGGGCTCCACCGCAGGCCCCACCTTACACATGGCCCACGTTAATCCTAACACCTGCTATTGGGTAATACACAGATTTTATTTTTTTGAAACTATGTTTTTCTGGTCGATTTCTGGTCATGTCATTGGATGTTTACACGAATTAGTTACTCGAGAAACTTTTTAATATTACTGTATTAATTGATCATCTTCAGTTAGAATGCTTGTTCTATTACTGAAGTTGAACAGCTGGTTTAATATTGTTAATTAAGAAGTTTTTTTGTAAAATGTACACAGTAAACGACACTTATTTTTTTATTCAAATCCAAAATATACCTAGTGAGAATAAAATATAAAAGCTAATTGTTTATAATCGCGGGTGATAGTTTGTTTGAAACTTTCTATTTGGTGATCATCTCAAGCTTGTTAAAAAGACTCCTTTATCTGGCAGTCAATTTGTAAAACGTGGGAACTCCAAATATAAGTAAAAGTTAATAAAGTTGAGGTTTTCTTGTCACTGAAAGTTTATAATTCATTTAAAGCTCAAAACTTCAAATTGATAAAATTGTAAGTAAAGCCCACTATTTTATTGTTCAGTACCGACTTAAAATTCGATCCATTCAAAATAATGATTTATTTAAAAATACTCTAACTTTCAAATGCGAAGGCTGATTTATTTGAAGTTTTTAGCAACTTTTAGATAAAATACTGTAGTTTTAAGATTATTATTCGGACATCTAAAAGTAATTTAGTACTCGCCGGATATACAAGGGGGAAAAGAAAACAATTTTTTCCTCTTCTTTTGACACACCCTGTAGGTTAATTCTGCTAGTAGATCTGCACACAATTAACTTTATCAAACAGACTGATTTGTTTTCAACATTTTGTTTTTTTTTATTTACCCCGATATCTTAATTTGTTTGTGAAATATGACGGTTTAAAGAAAATGTAACATTCTTATTTTTATTTTTTTTTTCAGTTTTAATAGAGTAATACATAATTTTATAAACAAATCAAACAACAAATAAACTAATAATTATTACAAATTAATAACGGGTACTTCCCACACGAGCGCGAATAACTGCCTCAATGCGTCGTAGCATACCCTCTATTAGATGTCGAATCTCCATCTGGTCAATCTGATTCCATTCTTGGACCAAAGCATCTCTCAAAAAATTTAAATTACTTGGAGAAGGAACTCGGTTATGAACTCGTCTGCCCATCATGTCCCAGACGTGCTCAGTTGGATTGAGGTCTGGGCTACGTGATGGTCAGTTTATCCTTTGAATTTCAGTTTTGTCCAAATATTGAGATACAATCCTCGCAATATGTTGTCGAGCGTTGTCATGCATAAAGATGAATTGGTTTCCTATAAACGGTGCAAATGGAATTACATGTGGATCTAGCATATCACGAATATATCGGTTAGCTGTCATTGCTCCGCCGCCAACAATGACTAAATCAGTACGATCTTCCATGCTTATGCCGCCCTAAACCATTACCGATCCTCCTCCTTAACTGTCTTGTGGAAAAATTTGCTTGGTCAAACCTTTCGCCTCTTCTTCGATATATTCTTTTACGGCCATCAGGAGAACGTAAACAAAACCTTGACTCGTCAGAAAATAAAATCTTATTCCACTCATCGACATTCCAATGTTGATGCTCCCTGGAAAATCGAAGACGTGGTGTTCTGTGATTCCTAAGTAACTACGGACCAGTTGCAGGTCTTCTGTAGCGTAATCCATGTTCTCGTAATCGCCTTCGAATCGTTATTTCGTTAACAGCTACTTGACGTACTTCTTCTAAACGATTTCGAGCCATGACAGCAGTAGTATTTCTTTCACGCAAAACATTTAATGTTACAAAACGATCATCTTGAACATTTGTAGAACGTCGTTGTCTGCCAGATCCTCTTTGTCCTCTCATTGAAACGTTGAAGCGCTCTCTGGACGCTACACCTTGTAACACCCAATATTCTAGAAGCATAATACTGAGACCTACCGTCTTGTACCAGAGCAATTACTGCTACCGTTTCTAAAATGTAGCATTTTCTTTAAACCGTCACATTTCACAAACAAATTAAGATATCGGGGTAAATAAAAAACAAAGAGTAGGAAACAAACCTACAGGGTGTGTCAAAAGTAGAGGAAAAAATTGTTTTATCTTCTCCCCTGTATATGCGGCGAGTACTAAATTACTTTTAGATGTCCGAATAATAATCTTAAAACTACAGTATTTTATCTAAAAGTTGCTAAAAAATTCAAATAAATCAGCCTCCGCATTTGAAAGTTAGAGCCTTTTTAAATAAATCATTATTTTGAATGAGGCCAATATGTATATCTCTCTCTACCTTGCGGCAACTTTAATCTGTTGTTCTTTTCTCCGCCTCACAAGCACCTCAGTGTACGCAATGTTGCCAGTTTTATATGCAGAATATCATTCAATTTTTTTTCTTTTAAAAAACATTGATGTTGAATACATTTCATTAACAGGAAGATACTTTAACGAATAAAACAAGTTGTCCGTTATTCTATGGCTATTTAGCGGCATGTAAATGATTAAAATATCTAGAATCGCAACCCGACAACAATGTTATCGTTTTAATGCAACAATATTTCTGAGAATTTAGTGCCTACTATTTTGGAACTGAACTTTAGTACAATAATTTATTATCTGTTGATACAACATTCATATTTCAATCCCAGTTTGTTATATACCATGTCAATAATGGTAAATGGGGTTTACCTCAGTCGCCTTGGAACAAAACTTTAAATAATACAAGCCGTCCATCCCAGACACAAGTTCTTTCAGAGCTTCAGGGGTTTACTGCTATGAGGGTCAATTGTAGGGATTATTATTTTTAAAGACCTCATTAAAAATGATCATTTCGTTTTTTAATATTTTTTATTCTCATTAGATATAATAAAAGATTGTAGTTTGATGAAAAAATAAGTTTTTTGACCAGAAATATCGCAGTAAGATGATTTGGTTATGTTGATTTAAATACAATTTCTACCAAACAGTTAAAATTTGCCTAGCATTATAGCTACTTCCTTTTGGTGAACATTTTTTTAAATTAAACTTTCTTTACAATCATCTTATTGTTTCAGTGTAAAGTTTGGTTTTAATTTTTATACACCTCGTGGTGTGGTTGTCTTTGGTGGCGTGTTTTTCTGTTATTGTTTCGTTTTGTATGAGCTAGAATAGAATTTACCGCAGAGTTACTGTATTGTATTTAATTTGATTCTTGACATCGTTATTTAATGCGATAGTTAAGATACAAAAGTACCCAGTTGAATGTTAAATAAGACTAACAGTACTTTGTGCAACAATAGTGGATATGATGGCTATATCGCATTAAGAGAAAGTTTGAGCACGACGCTATAGGCGGAGTGCGTTACGGAAAAGCCACTCGACTTATACAGTATATTTTTTTACGACCCTCTAACTAAAATATACAAATTTTAAAAACTATTTTAAAGATAATTAACACAGAAATTAGGAATTTTCATAATAATAAAGTAAAAAAAAAATAAACAAAGTTGGTCTCGGTCGGGATTTAAACCCCTATCCTGAGAACGGGAACACTTCACTCCTATTGTTGCGCTAACAACTTTATCATGGTTCACGACCTAACATTATTTATAATTGAATTGGTTTTAAATAGGTTTATCAAAATTTACAATTTTTTTTTGTAAAAATAAACAAATATCTAGTGGATTGTCGTTATTTGTCGATCCTTTGCAAAAATCACTCATTTTTTAATTATATTTAATCTCAATTAGGCATTCCAAACTAAATGGCTACCAGTGGGTTTTGACAGGTTATGATATGGCAACATTATGGCAAACCCGTAAGCCTAGTGATTTGACAAGGGCAGTGAAGTAGATAGTAATATATATATTGATCATCCATGTTTTTCAAAATAAACATTATACCTTGAAGTAAAAATATAGGTAATTATTATTATTATTATTATTATTTTTTTTTACTATATTTAAAGGCTTAAAATTGCTTTTAAAACATATTTTTGATAAAACGACCCCCTTTGAGCAATCTATTCAACTGTATATGTATCATTGACCCTGTCAGTGATAGCAGGCTACAGGGTTGCCATATCTAAACGTCAGTTCCTACTTGTCAGCATTTTGACAGGTCGTTGGAATGCCTAATACCTTAAAAAACTGACAATTAGTTTGTCAGAATTGTCACTTATTTAAAATCTTTAAAAATATGAACTTTGGTGGATGTAATATCCTTGCTCAATATCTTTACTAGAATAGATATAAAATTATATATCCATTCAGTAAGGATATGGCCTACTTATTCGTTCAGTAGTCTGTGCATAAAATAGATAATTATTATGCATGTGGGTGTAGCAAATATCTGTTTTGTTATATTATACTCATTATGTGTTTCTTCAATTAGCCTTTTTCCTGGGAAGATTTAAAAAAGATCCGCTAGGGGCAGCACTGGTGGGGGGGTACACATGTTCTGAATTCTCTATTGACAACTACGTCAAACTTACGTTTTAATATTATTAGAATAAATATTGTGATAAAAAAATTAAAAAACAAATTGTCATGCCTACAAAACATTGCGCGTTTGCTAATTGTACGTCTGACAGTCGTTACAAGCAAGATGGTGTAAAATTTGTGCCTTTTATAAAACCGCAAGTTGACAAAAACGAAAGTAGTTAAAGTAGCATTCAAATCTACAATATCAATAGGACCAGTAGTAATATAATTATACATTATAGCATAGCAAAAAGAACGAGAGAAAGCTTGGACTGGAAAATTTGCCCAGTTTGTAGTAGGAAAAGTGCAGGATGTTGAACTTGGTAGAGTTGGATTGAGTAATTTCATGCGTTGCTGTTTTTTTTTTTCGGTAGAGGTGAAATCGCTTACAGACACCAAGCGCTTACATCTATTGCGACAAGGTAGTGTAAGACTCCAGCGCGGTAGGTGCAAACACTGTATACTCACTAAAACACCTCCAAGTTTTTTTAACATCTTATCTGAAACTGCCATTAGCATTACTTCAGATAAGGGTTACTTCACATATTTTCCATGCATTTATATTATT